GTATAGGATTGCGAGATGTCGTTGTTACTTTATACAAAGTAAAGTCATCGATTCTTATTATGATACATGTTGTCATCAATTTGGCGAGCTGTTCTAGAATATAATTTTTTACTGGATTACCGCTCGGATGCTGTGATTTCTTTTGATCATTGGAAAATGCGTTTGCATTTTGCGTTTGATTGTTCTTTTCCAAATTTTCTCCAGAACCTTTGGTATTGCTAACTGAATATAATAAATAAATATGATAAAATCACGGATTCGCATATATCTTAATTTGTTTATTCATTGTTTAGAACGAACCTGCAACGTTTCCTTGACTTCTTGTCAAAGGAGAGTGTTGAGTTCTACCAGAATCAATGAGATCCATAAACTGGCTTCGAAAAGAACTCAATGATTGTTGCAACCACTGACTATGTCGGGTAGCATTTTCTCTGTACTTGGCCCAATGTTTTCTATCAGCCATTGCCAAATGATATGGATAATAATCAATTTGAAATCTAACTAGTGAAATTTGCAATGCCCCACCATCTTTTAAATCAGGATGGGAGGATCTACCATCTAGAAGAAATAGATTAAATGTACACTTGTATAAACGTTTTAATCTAATAATAAAAATTAAGAAGTTCATATGTACTTACTGCCAATGTCGTCGCATAAATGCAAATCAATTCTTTGACAGAGAAAGTGATATGATGTTTCTACAACATCGTATCTGGTAAATATTTTCGAAATAACAGTGTTAAATTGATTTTTCGTTCTGGATTGCTGTGATATTTGTGCTTGATATTCCGGCAATACCTTCAATTAACAAGATTATTAATATCACTAAAATAATAAATATATAACAATTTTTACTTTTTGTTTACAAACCTCTAATTTTCTAGCAGCTTTTGTTTTGCGTTCTAAAATTGTGGCTTTTTCTATTAAGCCACCAAGGGAGTCAATAAAATGAAGAGCTGCTTTTAACTGTGAATCTGTTAAAACCCATAGAAGGTCATCCAATATAAGAATCAGTCTTGATCCCATAACAAAACAATCTGAAATACATATTTTATATTTTTCTCATCGTGTTTAGAAAAGATCATTATATTGTACATATACATGTTATCTCAGTTAAGCAGTTTAAATAAATTAGAGACTCCCTTATCCGAACACTTATTTTTACAATATTCTGGTATCCAAACGTTCCATTAACTAATAATTTTATTATTTAGATACATTATCACCTAGTAGAGAACTTGAATGAAATTTTTAGACAATAAAATGTTTTGGTATCAGGATATTACAAAAATAAACTTCGGATAAGAGAATCTCTATTGTATCTAGCTCATTAATAATTACAAAAAATATACATCAATAAAGATAAGATTAGATTTGAGGCAGGAAATATTTTGGTAAATAAGAAATTTTCTTAAGGTCATAGTCTTTGAAATGTCGAAATCATTAATATTTTATTAAATGAAACTGTATGCGGTTACCTGAGATTCTTTTCTTGATAGTGATTCGACATCTTGCTTGATTTGTAAGTAAACGTAAAGGAGTTAGATTCTTATCTTTAGTACTTTGTGCTTCTATTCTGACTGTTTGCCACTCAAGTTCTTTGAAGATAAGTAACTGTCCACGATCAGGATCTTTCAACCTAGTAGTTCTTAAATCACAACGTTGCCATGTCGGAGACTTTGATTCCACAATGATACGATTCATCTATAACAAAATAGAAATTGTTAAGATACTTCAGCTATCCTATACATGAAAAGAAGAAAAGGCATAGTATGAAAAGTAGAGAACATTACTGGAAACAAAATAATACTTAGGTAATTAACAAGTAACAACACAAAATAAAAAATAATGAACTTAAACAGGATATAAGTAAAAGTGATGGTCGAAGAATAAAATGCAAATTAAATAAGTAGGGAAAGGAAAGTATGATACAGTAGTTGTACAAGGAATTAGAAATAAAGCCCTTTTACATATGTAAATATAATATATTACCTGAACCGAAGCAATAAATGCAGGGCTTTTAAATGTAACTGATACAGTATTAACAGTCACTGTTATTCCATCGATTACTTTGTGTATAAAAGAATATTTTGTAGGACCTGTGTACGAAGACAATCCTTGCATGGAAGATAAATCTCTTAAATCTTCACAAGTTTCTACTTCTATATGAACTTCATCTAAACTCTGTAAAAATATAATTTGATTGCTTTTATTAACATTAAATAAAAAATAAATTATTTACAGTGTAATTATAGTTGTATTCATCTTAATAAGCAACAAGTTATATACAAAACTTTATGTAATTCATTTACTTTTATATAAATATATATGTTTATAAATATTTACCAAAACTATAGGAACACTTCTCAGTTTAGTCCATTGTATGCGAAATGATACTTTATTGCACCAAGCATTCGTTAGTCTGAGCCATGACGGTAATTCTAACAGATCTGTCAAAACTATTTCATCAAGTTCTAAATTAGATAATTCACCTTCTCCTTTAAATGTACTTAAATTTATTTTATCTGCCGACAGATTCTTGGTGAACCTATGAATTCATACGAATTAAAAAAAGCAGCATATCATAATTATTATCTTAATACAATCAATAGCCATATTGAAATTTGTAAAAATAGAGACGTAACAACGCAACACAGACGATTCATATGTACGTGACACTTTCAAACTAATTAGTTCGAAGTCGTTCTAAGAATTGAAAACAAGGTTCGGAAGAAGTAATCCATAATCTAACGAAAATAGCGTTACAAATTTACACGTTAAATAAAATGTATTTACAATTGCACATATTTGTGAAAGAAGTTCGAATTTAGAAAGGGTTGTGCAATTTTTTATCGTGTATTAAACCAAAGACAAGCAAAATAGAATTAACAATTCAACTATGTAAATACCTTGACAGATGCTTCAGTAATTGTTTCTTTATTAGAGACACCATGTTTTCCTACTTTCAATTAGTTTCTATTACATCTAATACACACACCAACATGGTTAGCTTAACATTCCACATTTGCAGTGAACTACAATTCGTTCATACATGCCACGATTGCCATGACTTTCGACTTCGACTCAAGTACAGTAATGCTTCACCGTTGTAAGCACATGCGGGGACAACGGGCTTAGAATTATGAAGCAGGTAGAGAAACTGCTTCTCTTCCGATTGGTTGACGTTTTACAGTTAAACAGTGCTGCCCTCACAGTTTTAGACAAAGAGAGGAAATGGCGAGTGAGCAAGGGCGAGTGAGATCAGCACAACCGCATGCGAAACGAGTCACACCGACAACCAATGTAGTTTGTCACACTTTACCGTGCTTGCGGTCTCACTCTTTTCGCGCATCCGTACGCCTGGCGCTCCATCTGAAAGATTGACATGCAATGCTCTTTTTGCAATACTAGCAGCATTGCAAAGTATATAAATACCCATCTAAAACTATTGTTATATGTGTACCGTCACTAATTATGTAATTAGTAGAAATAATTGCTCAATTGTCCATAAAAATGTCGTTGAATCAAGGCATGTGGCCTCCGAATTGTCGTTGAATCAAGGCATGTGGCCTCAGAATTTCTATCGAATATATATAAGTCCGAATAGTATAACTTCACTGATATTTTTTTTTTGAACGACATATATGGATTGAGCATCGTTCGCAAATTCGCTGGCAAATGTAATCGAGAATCCTACGAGACGAAAAGTAGAAGTCGAATATCGCGCTGCGTGTTTCAGATGGAGCGCCAGGCGTACGGATGCGCGAAAAGAGTGGAGATGACCTAGGTTTCTCGCCGTGTGAATACTCACACACAGAGACAACTGGATTCGTTCCATCTTTCTTGGTCATCTCTCGTTCTCTTACTAAAACAACTGCGCGTAGGTGGATGCGCAGTAGAATGGTGGGGATAGAAAGGTTTTTGAATTGGGAGAAGAAGAAGCTCTTAAATTAAGAGATTGTACTAAGTGGACTATACCGGCGGTCACGAGGTACAGCTGTCCACCCCACTCCATACCGTTCAGGCTTAATAACGTTCGGATGGTAAAAATGGGGTGGACAAATATTCTGACTCTGCCACTAAATTCTATTTACTTTTTTTGATGTTCTTTCCATTCCGTCATCTTTTTGCCTGAAATTTCACATTCCTAATTTCACGTTAATAAAGTACTTTTTATCTATGCTTAGTAAAAACCAATTACACAACAGCGCAAAGATAGAAAACGTTCTGAACTGCTTACGTTTAAAAATAGGAAGTTCAACAAAAAGATAAGCGTCATTTGAGAAAATTTTTATAGAGCGTTGATTTAAATCATATTTAAATATATTGTTACAATTACTTATTATCGCCTGCTTATAATTTTTCAGCAGATTTCACTGTTAGCAAGTCTGAATCGAGACATTTTTTCATGCAAATGGGAATTTATCGTTATACGGTTTTCAGTTGGCTAGCCTGGGTCCAATAGTGAAACGTGTATTCACGGATGATAAGAATACATCTGACAATGAACGATAGTAGATAAATAGGATCGCGAAATAATTATACGGTTAATGTGGAAAATTTGCTCGATGCATAGTAAAATAGGTGAAACAGCGGCGGGATGTCAACGTAGTGCTTCAAATGGAAAATGGCGAAGATCATGAAAGGATCCGAATCGTTGAGCACGATCCTGATCTGCGAATATTGCACTAACCTTTCGTTCAAGCAAATAGAAGATTTTGTCAGGTGGGTCGATCTATAGAATGTATGCGCCTATCGAAATTATTTTAATTCTTGTAAGCGCGTTTCTCTTTCCATTTACTATAGCATATTTCCTATATAATTGTCATAATCATACAACCTTGGTAATGGTTAATGTATTAAGCTGACAGCATTTCGTTAAGTGTACATCGTTTAACGATTAGTGCTCGTAAAATGATGTCAGGTAGGATAACAGATTATGTAATTTGAATTTAGGCATCTAAGAGATCAGCATTGCGCCAGAGAAGGAGGATCTTTTATGTGTCTTTACGGTTATAATGGGGTATGCACTAGTCTTCCTGTGGAAGGTGTTTCTGATAAAGATTATGTAGCACATGCCACCAAGCATGCAGCAATGCAACAGCAACGCAAGAGCAATGGCCAATTATCAGAGCCCTCTTCTTCGTGGACTGTATACTCTGCTGCACAGAACTTGCCAGCTGTTTTAAATGATCCCTTTAAAGGAAAGCAAAGTAACTTTTTAACACGCACTTGGGGAGATGGATTTGTAGAAAAAGTTGATATACCTAAAAGTCCATACCTTCCCGAAGTTACCATGCAGCATTTTGAGTCTTACTTAAAAAAAATTACCAGGGTAACCCATATATTCCTTAACCTAAAATGTTTTAATCTTCAAGAAAATGTATCTTTTAATATGATACTTATTTGTAGAGATTCAGAAAGCATTCTCGTATGAATTCGAATGCAAATAGACCAACTACTCCTAATGAATTATTACAAAATTTTCCGAACTTAAGAAAAGTTAAATGCTCAGGTAAGAATAACGATCTTATAATTTACAGTACTGTTCTTATAATATTATGAAAAATCTTTGCATTAAGTAGACAATATTTATTTGTGCAGATCGAATGCAATTTGATTTAACTAATATACCAAAAATTTTTTTAACACCCAATCTGGATCTTTCTCAAAAAGACAATTTTTATGCTGTATTTCCATTCACAAAAAATGGATTATTAAACGAAGATTCTAATATTGTTATGCATGTAAAACAAATGCAAGAAAAGGTACATGAATGAGTAAATATGTTACAGAAACTTTTAGAAAACAGAACAAGTAATATTAATGTTTCTTGCAGTTAAGTCACTATTTAGATATTGTGGAAGTTAGAATAGCTGAACAGGTTGCTTCGAAATCTCAAGCATTTTTTCATGCTATGACTTCTCATGATGCCTTAATGGAGCAACTCACGCAAACTATTACTGTTCTCAAAGCTCTTAGAAAAAATATACATCAAGTTGATAGACATCTAGTCAATGATTCCTTAAACATATTACGGTAATTTATAACAATTATTCTTTACAATATTACCTTGTACTCGATGCTATCTTGATTCTTCTACTTTTTAGATTAGAGCAAGCAAGATCTAATCGATTACTAGTTCAAGAAAAATTAAAACTCATGGCCACGGTACATCAAAGTCAGCCAATGATACAATTATTATTATCTACTCCAGATTATGTGGCAGCTTTAGATCTTATTTCCACGACCCAAGAGATACTTTTACAAGAGTTGAACGGGGTGCATAGCTTTAGGTACATCAATTTATATCAAGAACAATTGTAGTAATTCCTCCTGATGTACCATTAATTTTTTGATGGTTCTTTTAGACATCTGAGTTCCCAATTAACAGAAATGGAGCGATTGGTAGATAAAATGTTGTCCACGGAGTTCCAAAGGTACGCGACCGCCGATTTGAATAGACCGTTAGGTGGTGAGAACAGTGTTCTGGACGGTGTAAGTATGCACACGATCTTTGGCAGCGTATAATTTGTAGCGAACAAATCGTCATCCATCTCTTCCCAGTGAGATCATTTGTACGTCCTCAACGAACAGGATAAGCTTGTGTCGATCATTTCGGGTTTACTGCGGCAAAAGCATTTTCAATTTGTGGACACTTACAAAGAGGAAGCTATAACGACAGTGAGAGCTGTGACTAAGCAAAGGGTAATAGAGGCTTTGGCAGCGAGCGATTGTTGCAGCGACCAACAAGCGGCAGCATTAGAGGTTGGAGGACTCTCCCTAGCAGAAAGATTAACATTGTTAAACAACACCATACAATCCTTAACATTTCTTCTCATGCGCGTAAAGGTATTTAACAGACCAAGGAATCCAATTGAACCGAAATATTTTTGAGTATTTTTATTGTCAGTATCTGTTGCGTCTTGCAGGCTGTTCATGACGTAATGCGAGACACAGTAGATCTTGCATCTGGTCGAGTTTGCGATGGTTCATTCGATGAGAGTATACCGGATCGGCTACTAACTCGAGCAGAGCATTCGCGAGTAACGACCAAACTCAATGATATGATTACTTCGGTTTGTGATTATTGTCATGAACGAATGGGAAATCTGCTTTCTGCAGGTGCAAATGACAAAGATAAGTTGCAAAACGACAAAGAGAAACAGATCAATGAGAACGCAAGCAACAAGTTAGAGGATAGGGAGAGTCAAAATTGGAACGATAAATCATCTTGGTTGAGTAAGAGGGCAACCACAGCTCAAGTATGCCAGTTGGCTAATTTGGTCGAGGGATTTACAGAAACTTGCGGAAAACTGTGTGGCAAGCAATGTACAGCCTTACGATCCGCTTTCAAGGTATAATACCATCTAATGGTCACTTTCATCTATTCGAATCACAATGATCATTTAAAATCTTTTGGTATTATAGGCACAAGCTAGTAAGTTCATTCAGAGATTTCACACCGAGCTTAAAACAAAACTCACCCTTTTATTGGAGTCTGAAAGATGGAAGCAGGCTGACGTGCCATCCGAATTCCAATACTTGGTGACTTACGTGTATGAAAACAAGTGTATACCAACGTATCAGTACAAGTCGGATGACAAAGATAAGGAAGACGATGTTTCAAATTTTATTTTAGTAGGCGATGAAAAGTACGCTGTCGTCGCCACAGCATTGATGCTTATGCAAATGATTCACGAATATTGCAGGTAATTGTTGAATTAAAACTGCGCTCCGATGAAACAATAAGAAGTAATAAATTTTATTGCAATTGCAGAACTGGCAGCGAATTGGTCGCCTTGTCTGGAACAATCGGAAGATATCTAGCTGAATTATTACGTCATTATAATTCTCGTTGCTGTCAACTTGTACTCGGCGCTGGCGCGATGCAAGTTGCTGGTTTAAAAACAATTACTAGCACGATACTAGTGCTAGCTGCTCGAAGCTTGAAGCTGATCTTATGGTTTATGCCTTTTGTAAAGGCACACTTTCAATGTAAGCAACATTTATATTACGGTGGAATATTTGTTCTATACTTTGATCTAATCTTATAATTTGGGTGCGCAGCACTGACAGAGCAGAATCCTAATCGTGGATTTGGTTCGTCCAACATTAGCGGCGGCGTTGCGTTGTTGGATAGCGTTGAAAGAGATATTCGAGCTCATGTGAAGGAAATCGAGAGCAAGATCCTTACCATTGTCGACAATCTACTAGGTGGCCAAATATCAAAGTGGACGGCCCGACCTCCTGTACCATCGGTCTCGTTTAGAAATATTTCAAAGTAAGTACCGAAACTGACAATGTCATCGCTCCAGATTTGTAAAAACAAATTGTTCGTTGCAGCTATTTAATGAAATTACATGAAGCGGTTTCTGGTATTTTGCCTGCAGTCGAAGTACAAATCTTGTATCGCACGGTAAACACATCTTTTAAAGAGAAACTCCGAGAACAATTAGTTAAAATGAATATAGTGAATAACGGTGGTCCACAACACGGTATAGTCACGTCGGAACTCACTTTTTATCTCGAGGCGTTGCGAAAGCTGAAAGTGTTACCCACCAATGAGTTAGATGACAATTGGATGAGTGACATATGGACTAGATAACATGCAGAGCGTGTGATATATTGCATAATAGAGGCGATGAAGTATTGCCGAAAGAGATGACTAATCTTTCTTATATTGTCTTCCTTCGCACGCTTCGCAGTCGTCCTACCGATATTAACGTTTCAAATGGATTTTTCAAACATGGTGGCTTATATCGGAATCATCCTTCGAGATATTTATAATTATTTTATTTGTAAGGTTGTATGGATTATAGAGCTGGCTTAACGTTGTGATATTCTAAGGAAAACCCATGGTGCAGCTTTTTCATAAATTGCTGTGTTCGATATTTCGGAGACTACTGGATACCAGGAAACTAAAGGATTGTTTTAAGGGAATATGATCTTATTTGTATCAGTTGTTGGCTACGTTTCAATAGTAATCATAAGCTAGTTTCATCATTCGTACTGTTTCGTCTCCTAAACGATCAGTTATGCCACAGTGTTCAGGTGTAAACTTTCATACAACGAGTGTGAACGACTACAACAAAGAATCGTGTAAATCATGAAAGAAAACAGAATACTCTTTCTCGGAAGAGCTACTTAAATTTCAGTTGATTACTATCGGGCATAAGATAATAAAGTTGGAGTAGAAGGACCAAGACTTTAGCTATTAAATTATTTTCCGTCGCGTAGATATCAGTGTATTTAATAATAATAATTCAAATTAGAAAGTTTCTTGTGAGTTGAAATGCTCACACTCGAGTTCGATGGTTAATATGGAAGACATAAACCTGAAAAACGTATTTACGTAAATTACGACTGCTTTTATTGTTGTGTTCACTGCTAGTATTGGACTGATTATAAAGAGTGTACCGTCGGAATAAATCTGATAACGATCTTTCGAACATTTTTACATGTATGTATATCGCGTACTACTTATATCGATCTGTTTTTATCGACAGATTGTTCAATTAGTTTCTTGATAGCAAGAGGGTGGCTTATTATCGGATCGCTGCCGATGGTGTGTTTTTATCAAGTTTTTCTGAATGAATCAAATAACCTTTTAGAAAAGATGAAAAAAAAGGTACGAATTAATTTAATACTACATCATCACAAGGATTCACGACTGCTTAAACAAAAAAATCGCTGTAAATTTTTATCCTTCGTCTTTGTGACCAAAGATAAATCAATAGATATTATTATTGCCTACAGTTGTACATCACGTTGTTTGCAATATTATCATTTATATTAGCGTACGCAATATTTCTAATTTATTATAAATTATTATTTATTTGGTGCATTCCATTCTAGACTTAGTCTAGATTAGTAACACGGTAACCAGTTGTATTTTTATTCATAAATAATTTATTAAGAAAAAAACAATTGTGCGTATGGCCCAGCAGAGATGTATCGATGCGTTTTAAACACTTCTAGCTAATTTTCGTCGTCTGAAACGATGCGGTTTTCGTTATTATTATGAATTATTGCGAACTGTTTTATCAAGACTGACGACGTCTTGTTGAATCATCGTGCGTTCCATATAGAGGTATAGATAACAACTTAGATGTACCGTACCTCATTTAATTACTGCATAATGTATTATAAAAATGAATATAAAGATTATGCTATATACAACTTTCTTACACATTATATTTATTTACCGAGCAAACCAATTCTATTGGACGAACACGATCAGGCGAGAATACATTTCCATAGCAACGAATACAAAAACATTATTCTAACCTGAAGGAAGGAGAGTTTTTGTGCCTTGTATTTTATGTTAGTCTAGAATCTGTACTTTGAACAAAATCATGGCGAACAAAAATTCGTATGTATCTTCTTACGTTCACTTTCATCAACAGTTCATTTGTGGCAGATAATAAAGCCTGCTCTCAAAGTGGTAGCAAGTGGTTCATTCTTCTTAACGTTATCTGCACTAGTAAATTAAATTGCCTTTTCTGCAATTACAATTATTTTTTTAGAGATGCCAATATGAGAGACGCGGCGGTGCGATTCTGTCTAGAGGAAGAACAACGTCGCAAAAATGATCCAGACGAAACACACGAACGTTCCATTATTATTGTCGGTTCCAAAAAAGTTGTATGTAACGGGATCATTTGGAAAATGAAATAATCTTCTTCGACAATTGTTTCATATTTTTTGGGAACTTGGATGAAAAAGAGATACGAATTTTTAGGGTAAAACGACGATGACATATCGATTTCTTGAGAAAGAGGAAACGCCGAAGCCAACTATAACGATCGATTATTCTTTCGGCCGTAAAGCCGGAAAGAGCTTAGTAAGCTTTCCGTTTCGCTACAGTTTAAATACTTCGAGATTAATTAAGTGACAAAACAACCGATTGCAAAATTACTTAGTAGAAATAGAACGTTCGGCGATTTAAAAAGTCACACGATTTCTTTCTTTCCCATCGATACAGATAAAAAATATCGTACACGTTTGGGAAGTGGGTCACTTAACATCTTCGTTGGTATCCTCTGCCATGACAGGCTCGTCTTTAACTCATTCGCCTCATCATCTTACGATAATAATGATGCTGGATTTGTCGCAACCGGAAATCTTATGGTCTTTCCTCGAAGAAGCACTATCGGTAATTCGAAACGCGATGAAGATGAGTTACGACGACAAGATGATCGAGGGACTTAAGAGTCGCCGATCGAACGAACGAAATACACCGTTGGAAAAGGAAGTTGATCATTTTCCGATAAAACTCTGCATCGTAGGAGGCAAATACGATAAATTCAAGGTAACTCGATGATTGCGATTGCCGATAAAAGTATTTCTCCACTGATCAAATAAGAAGTCCCGTTCATTTCGTGATAGGATTTCGATCCGAATAAGAAGGAATTGGTCGGGAAGACGCTAAGGGCCGTGGCTCATACCTTGGGCGCAGATCTTTACTATCACTCGTCGAAAGATAAGACTGTGATGCGGAAAACCAAAGATTTGTTGGCTCATTACGGATTTGGCACTCAACTTTCGTGAGTTGTTTCTGCGTTGTTTGCCGTTCAAAACTCGTGTTCGTGCAATCAAATATTTCTGGAATGCTTCAGCGGTGGAAAGTGTATGGATTTCGAGAAGCCGTTAGCGGTACCAGCCGGCGCCGATTCATTCTCATCGATCGATTTGCAATTTCCTCAGGCAAGACCTTCGGCCATGTTAGATGCCATCAAACAGATTTATATCTCTCGTGTACCGCAAATCTCCAGAAGCAACGATGTTATCTTGGAAGATCCGAGCAACGATCCCAACTTTAACGAACCGATTATCGACAGATTGCGAGCTCAGAGAGAAGAGGTATCGTTCTGGCCTGATATACATATTGGTGCACACAGCTCCCGATCCCGAACACGGTTTATTAATTTAACGCGTTTGCTCTGTACGATCTCTGTCCTCAGGAAATTGGTATTCTTCTCCACAATATGTTGGAAGGTCGAACACCTCAAATTCCCATTCCGGATCCGTCATAAATCGCGGATAGATAACGTTATTTCGCCGTACGGATCCATCGCGAATTATTTTCACGTGTTCGATCCAAGAGCTGAGATTCGAAGAATCGTCTGACGAGTAGCGGTGATATCGCCTGATCAGATTTCTACCGAAACGTTGCAAGAGCTCTGCAGAAATTTAGCTCTGCCCACGTTTGAATAACTTTAATAAAGAGATTTTCACAAAAAACAAACAATTGCCCTTTTTAGAGCACCCTTCGTTTTGTAACTTGAACTTGCTCCAAACGGTACAGTCGCACTACTGCAATGTCAACAATGATAAGAATGCCGGTGATAAAGCTTATCTATAAGACGGCAGCAATTATGTTGTACGACAAAATCGCTTATGGCTAGGCACACGTTGTTTCCTCGGTACATATTCGTATTTTTTTTTCGTTTTACTATTTTAGTCATCATTTTCAAAATTCGTAGTTGGCAAGGAAACTACATCCGGTCTTCCAACCTCCGAGTAGAACGAAGGCTCATCTTCGAGGGTGAATAAATCTTAACTTCTCAGTTTTTGTCTCATCAACCCCTACGATTATTCTCATAGCTACAATAACAGTAACAGTTCTTTGTTCTTGATAACTTTCTAGTATAAAGAGGAAATTTTTATGTATCGTATGTCCACACGCTTACTTCGATGCTTACTACAAGCAATTACAGCTATACTACAAGCAACCGTTTCATTAAACTTGATAAAAACAAAAAAGATTAGCAATTTTTGTAACAATACAAGCCCATATAAACAAATTCATTGAATTTATTCTTCATAAATGTATGTTCATAATCTCAATAATCGTACATTTAAAACAAATTTGTAATCCACCATATTGACCGGTCCCGTAAATCTAATGTTAAACGAAAAAATAGATGCGGATGCATGCCTACGGCACGATATCCTCGATACAAAGGTCTTTTGCTCCTCGCGAGCTCTGACATTCGCTCTTGCTGCCCTGAAGAAAGGGTCATACCATACTATATCCGCAGATTGCTTCAAGCAATAACACTAAAGCAATTAATAACATTTCTATTTAGAAATTTTCACTTAAGATGTTCATCGCGGGTCTGACTCGACGTTATACATATAGCAGGGTGGTTAAACCACCCTGCTCGCGTTTCACCGAATTTTTGTACTCGTTTGTCGCGTTGATAACGATACTGGTTTTTGTCGAAGGAAAATGACGAGAGAATGGTTAGAGAGTTCGCATCCCAAGGGTAGGGAACACCTCGCAGGCATAATTGGAGTAGCAAGCAGGGGTTCGGGGGTTGTTCTCGCCCCTGGGGTGTTGATAGTCTGGCGGTCGCGCAGGCGTTCTTGGCGGCCCTGTTTAAAGGGCAAAGATAGCGGCGACCAGAGGCGATCAGAGGCGACGCTAGGCGTCGCGACGGTGTGGTGGCACCGTGACAGCGGATCTCCCTCGTTTCTTGCGGCAGCGGAGCGGTGCGCTGATAAGAGCAAAGCGGAGCGGAGCGGAGCAGAGCAGAGCAGAGCGTCGTCAGCGAACGGTGACGCTTGCGCGTTGCGGAGCGTCGCGCTTGCGCTCGAGCCACGGGTCGCTCCCGATACACGGATAGTCGGAGTCGAGCGTTTACGAAAACGAGATCCGGCTGGGGGGTTTTCCGCTTGGTCGCGGGCCTCTCGCTTTCTGGCCTCGGTGTTTCCTCAGTGAAAATGCCGCTGTGATAGAGAGCTACCGCGTGTCCAGTGGTCTCGCCGGGCTAGTCGCGCCACAACCGAACACCGTCAACTGTCCACGCGAATTTTCGCCACGGCACGCTATCTGTTATCGCACCACCTCGTACTTCTCTTCTCGCTCCTCTTTCCTCGCTCCGCTTCTCTTTTCTCTCCTCCTCCCGCACGCTAGCCGTTGCTCCGTCTCTCTCGGTGCGATCCGCGCGATTTCGCTTCCCCTATCCTCGAGCATCGTACAAGTGACATCCAAACTCGTCCGGACCGAATGTCGGAAGTCACCGATTGATACCGGAAGTCGTGGCGCCGGGAGTTTCGTAATCATCCCCCGAACGGAGCTGCGCCGGCCGCCGATCGACCATAGGTGAGTCTTGACGCAGCACAGCGCTTTCTACTTTAGAACTTTTTACACCTGCTTGCGATGTCCGATCGATAAAAACGAAAGATCGCTGGAAAACACATTTACTTTGCTTGATCAACGTCGTATATCGCGGTGATCGCAGAATTGCCCCCCTCCTGCGGCCACTTCTCTCGCGTTTATCGATTCCGGTGTGAACGCGCCCTCCCCGGACAGTTATCAGCGCGTTCGTCTTCTTACGAGCATCTTCGAGGTCGAACGATCCAGTTCTTCGATAGATCAATATCGGTGCGCGCGTGATTATTGCGCGTCCGATTTCGCCGATTAGTGAGAGAACACCACCCTCGCCGTTCTTCGCGAACGCGCGACCCTCCGACCATAGCTCTGACACTCGCTCTTGCTGCCCTGACCGAGCACAAGGTAACAAGAGCAACGCGAGCTAATTATGCGGAACGATCGTTACCAGTTCGAGCGGAAACTGGTCTATTTCGATGGTCGACGTGTCTCGTTTATGTACAAATCGGGCATCGTTGCTCGACGCGACCAGTCGTCGATCAAATCGTTCAGACGCTGGTCGGATTTGTCGTGCGACTCAGCTTCCGTCGCACCGTTTTTGCGGGTTAAAAATGCTTAAATACATTTCAAAGTCGGGCGGAGATCCTTTGAAACATGGTTTCCGTAGAAGGGTCTCGTCGTCGCGGTATATATAATTAGTGTTTTACCAGTTACAGCTGTCCAAAAGTCTTTAAAGCATCGATTACCGATAGGCGCGGGTGCGAGGAAGTTTTCGACGCCTTGAATTTCTTCTTCCGTTCCAGCGATCGATCCGCCAAAAAAACTTAGTTTCTCGATCTTTATCTCGTTGCGAAATAATCGCCAGGGTGGAGGAGGATATCTATCCGAGCAAATCTTTGTCGTCGAAGCGATTAAGCACAGTTCCGTACCGCGGCGTTCGTTTGTTGGTGGAAGGCAGAACCGATTTCTCAGTCGAATCCGCTTATCTATTAATGACTGGAAGGTTAGTATATGTATATCTGCTCTAGATCCTCCGGCTTAACGTTCGCTCGGATCAAGATTCAAATCCCATTTCGGGCAAGACGTTCCTCCTCTCTCGCGGTCTCTTCCGACTTTCGAGGATAACCTTGGCTTCGCCGAAACGAAAAAGATTGTTCGATCGTGACGTCAGGCTTCCCACGCGTGCATCCGATATTTCGTTTTGTAGTCCATCGATCGAGCAGGTAAAAGCGACCAACAGGTTTGCACCTGTGTACGTGCGCCGACACGGAGCCAAGAAATCTGAACGTGTTCCCGTGTTCGTGTGACCGGGTCTCCCGCGAGCCGGCGATCATGTGCAATAGTTACGTACCTGGTGGAGCCAGGTCGTCGGGACGCCAATGCAGTACTCGATTAGACGTACAACGCGGCACCCCGATCCGGCGTGCTATTCAAATTTTCTCAAACGCCGGTGCTCGATCCATTTTCGCTGACGTTGTCTTGCCTCGTTTTTCCCCCGAGAGCCGATCCTGCGCCGTCACGAAATTTATTGGGCCGCCGTGTAGACCGCCTACAAGAACTTCTAATCGATCGCTTCTCTTATTCGTCAGCAAATAAGAACGTTGCGATGCCTCGAATAATATTATACCTGCAACAAAATTGCGAATCGTAATGTAACGAATTCTCCAATGCCACGGTGCGGTGGTCCGCCGTAGCGGCGCATCGAAATACACATGCAATTACGATATATCTCTTTACCTTTGTCCGAATCGCTCGAATGTTATTTTCCACGAAGCAGTTTCTCATCGCGGAAGTTTCGCGCGTAGCGTTAAGAAATCTTTTCTAAAAATGTTTTCTCTTCAACGGGAAAGGTCGAGATCTCGAATAATAGAAGCACGATCGAGCAGTATTTTCGCTGCTCCAATTTTCCAGAGATGCGATCGCGTCGCCCTTTTAATCTGCAGTTTATTTATTTCCTCCGCTCGCGTTTATTTAATGTCATCGTTCTCTGGCTTTCACACGGCTCTCGGTTTATTTTAGTGACGAATTTATTACGGCTCGGTGTTTTCGCGATCTCCAAATATGCTACGAATTATGACCGAGGATTCACCGGGATTATCCGCGGCCACCGAAAACCGGTGACTTTTAACGCGAACGAGTCGCGAACGATTCCCAACGAACGGTGCCTCCGAGCCTTGTCTATGCAGTTATATTTTTACGAGCGACGATTGGATTTCCGGCTGTGGACGAGCGTCAAATTTCCTAGAAAACAGACAAATAAAATCGTTACCGCACGGTGCGACGGTCGTTCCTACGCGAAAAGGAACGGTTGTATATTAATTTGCGGGCGTTTGTGCGGCGAGGGAAAGGAACGGCTAGCGGGATTACGAAAGAAATGTTCTCCGAACCTGACCGAAGATGGTAGCGAGGAAGGGCGGTATCCGTGATTACCGTCGCGCGCTCGTGCGCGTTAATAAAGTGTATCGCGTAACAGTAACGCACCGTAGAGAACGTTTTACCTTCGATCGCGCAAAAGTTTAACCGAATCGCACTATCCCAACGATTAGATATCTGGAGCACGGCTGACTGTGTTCGAAGATCGACGATAATACTCGAGACACGATTATCGATCGAAACGTATATATAACTGCGACCGATGATAAAACAGCGTCAACGAAATCCAATCGATCCACCATCGATCGCTGTTCCTGTTATTGAAATCGGAAGCTAATTGTTTGCCGAAATCTTTTCGCGGCTCGTCGCATACGGATAACGATCGTGGTCCTCGTAATTGAACAGATACCTCCAACAGACTGGAAGGCACGTACGTGCGTGCGCCACGTGGCAACCGGGTCAATTGTGCTCCATAACGAAGCAAACGCTCGTTATCCTTGGAACAATTCGTCTATTGTCCTAGGGTGGAACGACGCGAAAGCGCGAAGCGTGCGGCTGACACTTCGGTGATGTATTCCTGGGAGAGTGTAGGACATTCGTTGTGGAAAAAAAATGGCCGGCGACCAACCGGTTTCGTTGGATAGCAGTCCACCGGTGATTACCGGGCGACCATCGCTTTCTTCCGGGCAACCTATTCGTCGGCGATCCCAGAGATATTATTACACCGTTTGCCGGAGCCCTTCCTCGTTTTCCTCACGATGGCATTATCGACTCGCGCGGCTTAATATCAAATCGTGGTCGAGTTCACTGGTTCGAACAGTAAAATTACGCGGAAAATGTTTCTGCAGCCACGAGACCGTTCTCTCGCCGGTGATATCAGATACCGGCGTTACGCAGTTCTGTGTTCCGGTTTATCTTCTCCCGCAGATTTCGTTGCAACGACAACTTTGTGCTCGCGCGACAGACCCACAGGCCCGTGTTCACCTGGAAATTAAATTTCGGATACATCGCATCGCTCCCGCCGAAATGCCGCGCTATCGTCGCAACGGATCGCATCGCATCGTGTCGCGATTAGGTGCATTCGAGCGTGTGCCGCGCGATAATTTCAGAGGCGCGTTGCCTGCGAGACTGTCCTTACCGTACACGTGACATTTATTATGCCACCGTACTTCCTCCGTTAGTGTGTCACACGACACTGGTAGCCGTGGCAAACTGCAATGCAGACGACCGCGGTATCACTGTATCGGGCTCTTCGTTGCGAGAACGTTGCCGATCGAGTCGACCCATGGCGCTTTCAACGTTCGTTCGGCATACCTGAAACATCGGGGCAACTTGCGTAGAGTTCGATCGTCGGAAGCGAAACCAAAAAATCGCGCACAGAAGAAGCAATTTGTCCGTTCGGTGGATAGGTTTCCAAGGAATAGGGGTTTCGGTCAGGGCCCGGAGGAAACGCGATCCCTCGCCAGTTCGACGGCGGGATAGGTCATTAGATTGGACGGCTTCGCTGTCTTCCGTTTTGGAAGCGTATACAGGTAGTCGCGGCTGCTCAAATTCGACGAAGTAACGGGCTTCTCGAAGGAGCATCGCTCCGGATACGGTGTATAACCGTCCGGCTACGTGTTTACGTTACGAAACGTGTTCTCGCATTGCCGCGTAGCCGTAAGAGCGTGACGAAAACTGATCTACGTGGGTGACGGTCTGCTTTGTCGTCCTCTCGCTCCAAAGCAACCTCCGGCAACGACACGCGTTGCCTTTCTCGCCAGGCGGCGCGCTAGAAATCAGCATCTGGATCACGAATTTCGGCAAAGTTCGGCGAAATTCGGCGAAATTCTTGACATAACCTTGACACAACCTTCACTCCGTTACCGTAACATTCGCGATTAACTCGAAATTATAACAGACTGTTCGATAACGAATCGTTTTTTCCAATCTCCGAACACGGAGGCGTTGCGAAATATCACGAAACAACTTTGTAGGTCTCGAAGCTAAACGCAGATATCGTTAGCCATTGTCCCGGTCCCAGTTTCAGGATTACTACTGTTTTCAAAGAATTATCAAGCGGCGGAATTTATCTATCGTGGTGGTGAAATCTCTTGGTGTGTAGCCCGCGAGGAGGAAAAAGCGGGTCGTGTTTTGTTGTGTCGAAAAAAAAGAAATAGGTGAATTGCATAAAAATACACCGTGAAGTAGCGACCTCCTTGGCTCGAAACCTGCTATTACGCAAATTCCTCTTCAACAGGTTCTACTGGCTGAGACGTTCCGACGAAAATTCAAGGCGCGATGATAGTGTGCCCCACTTGTGAGAAAGCTAAATTCGACGGTTTCAAGGTCCGCAGAAATCCGCTTCAGAGCCGCGAGTCAGTGTCAGATATTTGCACGCGGAAGCGCGTATCTGTTTTCATCGGTGTCTGTTTTGCATGAATCCGATTACTTAAGAACAACTGCATTGTCCGGACGCAGTCCAGGTCGGCCGATACCAGATTGGTCGGTGTTATTTACTCTAATTAGTCTTCCCCCGTTGCTGTAAAAACGTTCTTGGAGGATCGATCGGATAGTTGTATTTGTATCAGGTCTCGCACGGAGTTCAAGTTAGTTGTCCGAACATTTTGGTTTATCGAATGTTCGCGTGTCGCGCGCAAGATGGGGGTCGATCGAAGCGGGTAAAAGAGGGGATGGAGTTGAATTCTTTACGCCACTCTGTACCCTATCGTATCGATACACCGATTCCTTTAACTCGGCTTTAATGAAATACCGATACCGCGACGAAGCGATCGAGTCGTTTCGTTTTTTTGTGTTTTATAGCTGAAAGAGGTTCCGTCGAGCGCCGATGGATTCCCCGCGGCGAACTACACACACACACATGCGTATATGTACATGTCGAGTTCCCACTCAAGGCAGCCACATTGATCGGAGGTTGCCAGTCGTTCTTTTTTTAATAGTACACCTTGAACACCACGTGTCCTTGGTATCTTCGCGTTACAGTTGATACACAAATAAGCACCGGGCTTTGGAGAAAAAGCTGCTGGACTCATAAATATTTGCGGAGCATCGAGCGTGTGCCACGTTCCTCGTTTCCTTCTTTCGCGCGACCGCGTATCTCGTCGCATCGTCGCATCGTTGCATCGCCTCATCGCCGCATATCGTTGCATATAATAATAGAGAATCGGACGAGAGTACTCGGGTTCAAATAAGTTATTCGAGGCGTGTTTTACCGTCGAAAGTTGTCGCGAATCTTTTCCTCAGAACTCTTTTCGGTTCAACCGTAGAGTAGCCTTCTTTACGGAGAAATGTGCATAATCGCAAAATCGCGAAATCATGAGATAGGAAACTCTGCGCTATTTTATATCAGTTTACTTCGTACAGATGAAATATTATAGTTGATTATGCGTAGATCTCGTAGAAAGATACCTGCATACATAAGATGTTATTTAAAACCTAGGGAGGGAAAGTTAAAGCACGCTCATGGATCACTGTTACAATGTATGCACAATGCACATTGTACGTACAGCAAGGAGCAAAAGTGTTCGCACACGTTTTAAAACGGTATTGTAACTTTTCTCAAACTGGTGTAAACGACTTGAATGTTTTTGTAAACGTTAGAGGGACTGGTTCACCGTACATCGACTAAAATGTAGAATTCTTTTCCAGCATGCATGTACCAAATGCAATGAGAAGTACCAAATGCATTTCTTAAATTTTCATTATACACTCGGATAAAAAAGTGAAAAAACGAATCTTTTTACATTTTTCTATTCCAAGCGGTAGCAAAATTAAAAAAAAAGTATCTTGGTCGTTGTACGGTGAACTAAGTCCCTCAAATATTTACAAAAAAATTTCATGTCATTTAGACCAGTTTGAAAAAGAGTTATACCGTTTCAGTAGGTGGTGGACCGCGGAGCACTTCGGCTTTTATCTGGACAATCATAAATATTCACTCGATTTTTGTCGTATTTAACGCTAAATCTACCGAGCCGGTCAAAATATCCGATTTTATATTTTTTATATTTTAAAGTTGTTGAAATTATAAAATGTTTTCGTAAGAAATGATTAAACGCACGCCCAGTCGCTTTTAGTGCTCGGTAGGTTCGGTGCTAATAAAATATTGAATCTTGTGTCATTTCTACAGGACAACGGAAATAGAGAATATATTCCACTTAGAAATAGAGTTTCTGTTTTATCGCTACCACTAGGGATCGACTGATTTTCATCAAACCGGTAATGGAAATAGGATTTTATGTATAGAGGTTTGCATCGATCGATGTTCATTTCGTTTCTTGGGCCATGATTATACGGTGAAGACAGTCGGTCGGCCGTTCTTGGCTAGAAAATCAATGAGTACACCGAACCGAGATTGTTTGTATACCGTGAACGTCGATCGTTTCGTCGATGATCGACGTTTGACCACCAGATGACATTCGGCCTCTAGGCGATTTCTCGCGAGAAAAAACGGATCGCGAACTAATAAAGATTCGCAGGAATGGTATCGAGCTATAACTTACTTGGCGCGGAGGACACCGTGATCACGAAGGCGGTTCCTTCTGGGCAAGGCCCTTCCATTGCACCAAGGCTGGGCTGAACCTTGCGAATACTCCTAATGTGGGTATGTCGAGCGCACAATTTTTGGTAGTCGGGACTTGCGTACGCGCTGTCCCGGATTCTGAAATAAAAACACATTTTTTAGGTCTCCTACAGCGCGATCGGATATAAACAATTGCCAGACTCGTTCCAGAATTCAACCTTCCTTCTTTATTCTCTCCATCTTGTTGCGTGTTTTGACTCGTACTAGATTTTATTTCCTTTCCTCCAACTTAGTAGATGGCTATTTATTTTATATTCGCAAACTATATAACCTCTCTCCAATTTAAAAGTCTTTTTAACCCCCTTGTTGGACATTATAATTATCGAATCATGCGAATAACTGGTTTCTGATTTTTCTTTTACAGTTTCTGATATTATAAATTGACATATATTACATATTAACATACATACATACATATTACATAAATTGACATATATTATAATAGAAATCGTACGAAGTTTGATTAAAATCTGATCTTGTCATTGTACTAAAACTGTCAATCATGCGAATAACTGGTTTCTGATTTTTCTTTTACAGTTCCTGATATTATAAAAATGTGTCCATGAGAAATTGACATATATTATAATAGAACTCGTACGAAGTTTGAATAAAATCTGATCTTGTCATTGTACTCAAACTGTACACATTACTCTTGTTTAGAGATCGGTTTAGCGAATGTCTTTAGTGTTGGGATTAAAATAACACAAAATAATAAAGATTTGCTTCGTCGTGAAACAACGATTGACAATTTATTATTATACCTGTTTATTAATTTATTTAATAATAGTATATTCTATGACGTTTATTTATCTATATATTTTAAAGAGAATTTTGAAAAGAAACATATACTGCTCCATCTATCGATAATAAACACATTAACACGTTCCGTGCCACGTGTTCCATCGATGGTACACGCTTGCATGTTTACCTGTCTCTTATACACATCTAGATGTGTATAAGAGACAGGTGTTCGTACACGAGTTGAAACATTTCTTCCACACGTTGCACAATTATTAACACGTTCCGTGCCACGTGTTCCATCGATGGTACACGCTTGCATGTTTACCTGTCTCTTATACACATCTAGATGTGTATAAGAGACAGGTGTTCGTACACGAGTTGAAACATTTCTTCCACACGTTGCACAATTATTAACACGTTCCGTGCCACGTGTTCCATCGATGGTACACGCTTGCATGTTTACCTGTCTCTTATACACATCTAGATGTGTATAAGAGACAGGTGTTCGTACACGAGTTGAAACATTTCTTCCACACGTTGCACAATTATTAACACGTTCCGTGCCACGTGTTCCATCGATGGTACACGCTTGCATGTTTACCTGTCTCTTATACACATCTAGATGTGTATAAGAGACAGGTGTTCGTACACGAGTTGAAACATTTCTTCCACACGTTGCACAATTATTAACACGTTCCGTGCCACGTGTTCCATCGATGGTACACGCTTGCATGTTTACCTGTCTCTTATACACATCTAGATGTGTATAAGAGACAGGTGTTCGTACACGAGTTGAAACATTTCTTCCACACGTTGCACAATTATTAACACGTTCCGTGCCACGTGTTCCATCGATGGTACACGCTTGCATGTTTACCTGTCTCTTATACACATCTAGATGTGTATAAGAGACAGGTGTTCGTACACGAGTTGAAACATTTCTTCCACACGTTGCACAATTATTAACACGTTCCGTGCCACGTGTTCCATCGATGGTACACGCTTGCATGTTTACCTGTCTCTTATACACATCTAGATGTGTATAAGAGACAGGTGTTCGTACACGAGTTGAAACATTTCTTCCACACGTTGCACAATTATTAACACGTTCCGTGCCACGTGTTCCATCGATGGTACACGCTTGCATGTTTACCTGTCTCTTATACACATCTAGATGTGTATAAGAGACAGGTGTTCGTACACGAGTTGAAACATTTCTTCCACACGTTGCACAATTATTAACACGTTCCGTGCCACGTGTTCCATCGATGGTACACGCTTGCATGTTTACCTGTCTCTTATACACATCTAGATGTGTATAAGAGACAGGTGTTCGTACACGAGTTGAAACATTTCTTCCACACGTTGCACAATTATTAACACGTTCCGTGCCACGTGTTCCATCGATGGTACACGCTTGCATGTTTACCTGTCTCTTATACACATCTAGATGTGTATAAGAGACAGGTGTTCGTACACGAGTTGAAACATTTCTTCCACACGTTGCACAATTATTAACACGTTCCGTGCCACGTGTTCCATCGATGGTACACGCTTGCATGTTTACCTGTCTCTTATACACATCTAGATGTGTATAAGAGACAGGTGTTCGTACACGAGTTGAAACATTTCTTCCACACGTTGCACAATTATTAACACGTTCCGTGCCACGTGTTCCATCGATGGTACACGCTTGCATGTTTACTTAGTGAACTGAACAAATTGTTTACAAGAAATTTAGAACCGAAGAATCAATTTCCACCGCAAGAATGGGCGTTGATAAGTTTTTGTTACGTTGTTATGTGTACGAGAATTAATAATTGCACGTAATACATCAAGTTTTAGTAAAATATCAAAGTGTGAAGATTCGAGTAAAAAAAGCTCGGCACGGAACGTGTTAATAATTGTGCAACGCGTGGAAGAAATGTTTCAACTCGTGTACGAACACATTAATTTTCATACCCGTATCACGTTGTCTCTGCACTACTGGTTGATCATAGTTGGAATTAGAATCCTATTCTTATGTCCCTTATAGATTCGAGCCACTCTTCCACCCACGGATTATCGCTTCCAAGCGTATCGAGTAGCTTTCAAAGTAGTCCTCGGTGTGTATTGGTACTCTAGAAATTTCAAATTTCTTATCACGATCTTGAGATAAAAGCACTGTCCTCCTTTCTCGCGAGCTCGATCGAAAATGCATGTCGTTGTCCAAGAAATTCCACGCGAGAGTGAATCGTGTTTCGCACGCGGAGATAGATGGCGCGGAATCAAATTCGTACACGCTTATCTTATCGGACAAGATTTTTGTAATTTATTTGCGTAAAATGACTTTTATTTGACGACACGAATTTCAGCTACTTTCATGCGAGTATTGTAATTCGCGTACAATGTAATTGTCTGTGTGAAAATTGAATTTGAACATAAAGAAATTATTATATCACTTCGTTGCGGGTAAATTGTTGTTAAAATTTTATGAAAAAAGCCTTGGTTGCGTGGATTAAGTTCGATCCAATGATCATCGGTTGTGCTTGTGGCTATAACCAAAACTTCCGAAAATAATCATGCTCGTTTCATTCGTCGGTAAGCAAAGTATAAAATACTGGGAGAAAGAAATTTGATTTGAAGCTGACGTAGGAACCGGCGGTAGGATCTCGCATATCTTGCGGTTCCGCGGACTTGCGGTTTCGTTCCCGCACGTCTGCGCACTTCCTCGATGGTCTTGAAAAATGTCTGCTGACGGAAAAGGATAAACAAGATAATCCCATGAAAAAATAAACAAGTGCGTTTCACCGCTGTTTCGGACCTTAGGTTGCACAGCAAGTAATCTGTGCTCTCGGTGGAAGCCCAAAGCCTTTTCGGATAACTTTGCAATTAAACGATACCGGAGAAATATTTGAGGATTGCCGGGCGAGGGATACATTGTCCGAGAGCACCGTGGAAGATGAATTTGTCGTCTCGCATGCCACTTGGCAACGAAAGCTTTTATCCCCGGAATTGGGAAACACTATTTGAGGAAACGCGTGTACCACGATCATCGGGGAAGGGACGTTAAAACGTAACAAACAATACCACTGTGGTTTTGTTCGATACAGCCTGGAATACGTTGTTTTCCGACTGTAAATCTACAATAACATCGCGAATTCGTTGGTAAATACATTTCAGAATTCACGTTGTACGTATGTTGAACGATTTATTTGGGAGGCCTAAGACCATAAACTAAACTTGTAAAAGATAAACAAGACCATCGTCCCAACGGTAATACAGGGATTCGAGGCACTTTCCAGATTATTTTACTTAAAACGTGTATCAATTAAATCTGACAATTTACATGCCTCAAATAGCAATTCTTAACTACGAAATGTGGAAACGACAGAGCAGCGACAAATATACAGGGTGACCCAAAATTTTGATACTTCCGGGAAATGTGGGGTTTCTGATGTCATTTCAAGTAACTTTTTCCTTAGCGAGAATGCAATCCGCAGCTTTGTTTACGAGTTTTTAACGAAAAACAGTGACCAATGAGAGACGAGCTCGGCTGGCGCAAAGCGGCCGAGCCAACAAGCGGACGAAGCCCAGTTCCGGTCATTGGCTCGACCGCCTCGCGTCAACTCAACTTGCCTCTCATTGGTCAATGATTTCCATTAACAACTCGTAAACCACGTCACCGATTGCAATTTCGCAGAAAAAAAATTATTTCAAATAACTTCAGCAACTTCTCATTTCCCGGAAACATCATAACTTTGGGACAACCTCTATACAAATCAGTTGCTGCAAATGATGAAAGACGAATAAGATTCACTACCGCTAGAGTAATAAAGTAGGCCATGCTATATATGTCACATATATTGCATTTAATGTCTAATACCGTATAACTATTATTTGTATCTTTATCCTATAATATTAATCGGTAAAGTTAATTGTTCCACGTGTGGAATCAAGTACACATGAGTACCCGATCAGGCTTATAATATTTCCCAAGAATAATATTAATAAATGAACGCAAAATATGATACAATACATCTACGTATATTATTCTATTGGGAATACATGCATTATATACATATAATATTATTTTATCACGTAAAATAAATCACATATAGCTTTTAATATGCTGACTCCACTAACAATATCATTTAAACAGCGGACAACAAAAACGTATACAAAAATTAGTTTTAACATTTCCTAAAATTGACAATTAAATATCTGCAACTTACAATCTAATTCCCGTTCAATTTAGAATTGCATTATAAAGCACACTGTATTAGATTCACATTCACTGCGATAATATTAATAGCAACCATCCTCCTCCGACGATTCATCGCAATCATCCTCATTGGAATCACCGTCGTCATCGTCATCACCATCATCACAATCGTCAGGTGGTTCGGATGGTGTTGGCGGGTTTTCAGTATTGCTGCTAGAGCTAGAACTTTCGGTAGTTCCACTAGGAGTTACGGTAGATGAAGATGAGGAACTTGCACTGTTTGTAGGCGCCACCGAAGATGTGGTTGTTTCATTAGAAGGAGTAGATTCTGATGGCGTCGGCGACCCTTCAGTAGGCTCTGATGGCTTGTGGGTTGGTGGACCTGATGGTGG